CAAATCGACGGAGTCGTTGTTTAATAGGCTTGGCGTCTTCTTTGACATGTAAGGAGTGCTCAATCACCTCTCTGGGAATACCGGGCATATCCGAAGGTTTCCACGCAAAGATATCTTTATTATTTTGAAGAAAGGTGATGAGCGCGCTTTCCTATTTACAATCTAACTCGGCGCCTATTACAGCAGTTTTGGTAGGATCAGAAGGATCTAAGGGAATCTTTTTAGTCTTGGCTTCGGTTTCCCCACTTTTTGAAATCTTGGCGGTGGGCACTTCTCCTTCGCTCACCGTGGTTGCAGCCAGTCGGATTTCCTCTCGGGCAGACGCCATCTCGCGAGTTTGGGCCATGTCGCAACTCTCCTTGTCGCATGTGACGGCTTGCTTAATGTCGCTCCGTAGGGATAGGACTCCTCGGGGACCAGGCATCTTCATCATCATGTACGTGTAGTGCGGGACGGCCATGAACTTGGCTAACGCCGGGCGTCCGAGTATGGCGTGGTATGCTGTCTCGAAATCGGCAACTTCAAAGCTGATATTCTCTGTGCGGAAGTTTTCCCGAGTGCCAAAAGTGACCGGAAGAGTGATCTGGCCGAGTGGAGTTGCAGATAATCCTGGGATTACTCCGTGAAAAGGCGCATTGCTTGGTTTCAGCTCGGAGCGAGGGATCTGCATATCATCCAAGGTTTTGGCGAAGAGGATATTGAGTGCACTGCCGCCATCAATGAGGGTTCTGCGAAGCTTGACGTTACGGACCACTGGGTCTAGTACCAGGGGGTACCGCCCCGGGTGGACCACTCGGTCAGGATGATCCGAGCGGTCAAACTTGATTGCAATCTCTGACCATCGAAGATACTGGGGCGTGTCGGGTTGAACAGCGTTGATCTCCCGTTCAGTCAACTTTTGCTTCCGTTTAGACTCATAAGCCATGGGGCCGCCGAAAATATGGTTGAGCTCCTTGCGGTGGTCTTGAAATCCAGCCGGGGTGTCGCCGTCGTCCTTCTTCCTTGACGTGCTTTGTTCCTCGTCGGAGTTCTTCCGAGTAGACTTGGTGTACTGCTCCGCGAACTGCTTGTAGATGAAGCACTCTTTGGCCACGTGGTTGGAGTTTGGATGATGCGGGCATTGGGAGTTCATGATCTTGTCGAAGGTGTTGACGCGCGAACGCTGTCGAGAAGAATGAGCGGCGGTTGCAACAAGTTCCTCAGGCTTACGCTTGCGGTCCTTATGATTGTTACTTCCACCTCCTCCCGTAGCCGGCGTATTTTTCGGCTTCCAACTGGGACCCGACTGCTTCGATGCGGTAACGGCGTCTTCGGCTTTGGCGTACTCGTTGGCTTTTTCGAACATGAGCTTGACTGTTCTGGGAGGTTTGCGCCCAAATTTGCCGACCAATTCTTCGTGGCGAATCCCTTTGGTGAATGCGGCGATGATGACGTCGTCGGAGATGTCGGAGATCTTGTTACGTTGTTCAGAAAATCGTCGGATATACTCCCGAAGGGATTCTCCGGATTTCTGAATGACGTTGTAGAGATCATATTGTGTGCCGGGACGCTCGAAGGTGCCTTGGAAGTTGGCGATGAAGTGGTCGCGTAATTCGGCCCAAGATCCGATCGTACCACGGGGCAGTCCATGGAGCCAAGATCGGGCGGAATCCGCTAAAGCCACTGGTAAATAGTTCGCCATGGCCTTATTGTCACCTCCTGCTGCGCGGATTGCGAGACCGTAGACGGTAAGCCACGATTCTGGGTTAGTGGTACCGTCGTACTTCTCGATTCCAGTCGGTTTGAAGCCGGCTGGCCAATCCACTCGACGCAGGTCGTCGGTGAAGGCTGCTACTCCGTCAAGGTCGTCGTCGTGGCGGTCCAGCGAGTGATGGTAGCCTCGAGCTGCTCGGCGCTGTATGATTGTATCGCGAAGATCGATGGGGCGGCGACGAGGTGGTGAGCGAGGCCGTTCCACTCGGCGCTCCCTATGAAGGTCGGGAGGTGAGTGAACAGACCGCTCGTCGTGACCCCTGCTCCTGCGATTGGATCCTGCGCCGGTGATGCTGAGGCTTGGATGACGGTAGTCTTGAGACCGGAAGTGTGGAACTCGGCTACCAGTCGGCGTGTGGACGCTTTCAGAGTTAACTGGAACCGAGGCCGCAATCATGGTCTTGGTCTGGTTCAAGATGTTGACGACGTGGTCGGATCGATTGAGCTCGTTTTGGTTGAGGAGGGTGTCGAGTAGGGTGATCGCGGCAACCGCATTCTGCTGAGGGGTGCGGAAAACCGGCGTCCCTTCGACGTCTTGTTGGCCGATGAGATCACGCGCTCGGCGCCCTGCTTCCAAAGCTCGCTGACGTCGATCTTCAGCTTCCTTGGCGATCCGCTCACGGTCCTGCTGCTCACGCCGTAGCCGTTCTTGTTCTTGTGCTTGACGCTCCTCCTCCAGTCGGCGACGTTCTTCAGTCTCCCGGGCTTGGCGTTGCTCCTCCGTCTCGTTATTGGCCATGAAAACGCCAAAGTAGAGAGGGGTGTAGTTGTCATCTAGGCTTCCGTCGAAGTCGTCGAGATCTGGGTCGTGGTAGCGAGAGCTAAACTCATCGTACTCCACGATGTCGGTGGGGCGCGAGTCGACGGTGGGAGAGCTGTTGTAGTCATCTAGCTGATCCGTCGAAACCGTGCCGAGTGGTTGGAGGATGACGCCGACTTCCCTGAAGCTAGGCGAAATCGGTGTTGAAGCTGACTTCCGCCTAGGCCTACGGGATGAAGACGCTGTTGTGGTGAAGACGGCCGCTAAATCGTCGGGGAGCTTCATCAGGACTGGTGGGTAAGCCCCATCATCTTGATCTGGTGTCGTTGGAGAAGATGCGATCTCGGCCGAGTGGTTTGAAGCCGACTCGAGTGAGATGGTCTTGAAGTAGGTTTCAGCCGCGTTTGGGAATCCAAACGGGACTGAGATCCGGTTCTCTCCCGACTGGTTCGATTCCGAGTCAAGGAGAGAAATCTTGCCGAAGTTGCTGGTGATGAAGTCGAGGCTGCCGAACCGAAACGCCTGCCCGGGTGGGAAGACGAGGTCGTCGATGCCGGTGACGGGACCCATTGCACTGATCGGCGAAAAGCTTGACGCAACCCCTACCTGGCGCGCCAACTGTCGAAACTAGATTTCGGCAATAATAAAAGGGGGTGGCTATCAAGCTTGGAAAGTGTATGGGTTCGGAGACAAAAGATTTATACAGGTTCAGGCCTTCTTAAAAAAGAAGTAATACCCTACTCCTGTCCGGGGATGAATCCGCCGAGTGTATTATTAATTGTATGATTCGGGAAAAATCAACAACTGCCCCTAGAGGCGCCCGGACCCCCCTTATATATGGGAAGGAGTCCGGGTTACAAAAGATAATCTATATCCCTAACGGAATATGAAAATATAGGTAAGATACAGTCGTAACCGACTAAATTTCAGGGTGTTTCCTTGATACACAAGTTAAGAAACAAACCCAAGATACAAATAAGATATTCTATCTACATTAGGTATCCGGTACCCAATCCAAATACCGTCTCCGTGTAGATATGGGTTACCCATAATCTCCACACTACTATAGTCCGCGACGGTTTGGGCTCGCAGTTGGCGGCGACGATCATCACTCATAAGGTTTCAGAGCAAGCGATGGTGGTCGTGCCCTCGGTGGGACTCAAATCAGCTGTTGCAGCGGCCTCATCTGTACTAGCACTAGCATGACTTTGAAGCTACGACAAATTACCTGCACTTTTATTTTATCTTGTATCTGATTTTTGCTTTTTCTAGGAGCTTATTCTGAAGAACAAGCTGCAAGGGTTGCAGGGGTTAGCAAATCTGGTGAGCTATTTTGGGACTGACGAAGTGCCACTTCTCAGTGTTGGCTGATGTCTTTGCGACCATCCATCAATTGAACAAGAAATAGAAATCTACAACCATCAGCAAGTGATTTACCAAAACAAGGAGCAGATGCTCCAAAAACTCGCCGAGTCGGAGCCATCCCAAAGCTTGCAGCGATCACGTCGACACTTGAATTGGTTTGGTTACTGGTTTAGGGCTTGAACACCGCCGCTGCGTCGCCACCGCCACCAGCGCAACCACCTCAAGATCACGTTAAGAAAGATGAAAGGAGATATGTGTACGTCAAGAAATGATATTAAGTGGTTTTCTATAAAATGAGATAGGTCTTTCGTGTCAAAGCCGATGCGGCAATTGTGATAAGGTGGAATGGTAACATGGCAATTTTTGTTTACGTGGCAACTTATGCACTATGGGCGCACCCACCTAGCCAAGTTATTGTACCGCTACGCTGGACAGTGTATTTTCAAGTTTTTACACCTAATCGCACCCACCTGCCAAGTTATTGTACCGTCAACGCAATTTACTTTAAAATTAAATTAAATTTGCTAAACAAGAGGATGAATGAAATGCATAAGAGGAGGATGGGGTAGTGCATCAGCGAATATGGTGCCTAGATGATAGGCGCAACAGAAAGAGAGCTTATGATTGCACACATAGTGAGAGCGAAACAATGGCGAAGATGAATAGAAACCTTAAGTTTTTAACCCTAGCCATTACAGAGTACATGTTACTATTTTGTTAAGCCGAAAGAAGGGCTGACATTTCATATTACAAGTCTACTTGCAATATTACAAATGACACATTCATAAATGTAAGTAATTTATTTTTATAATAATGCTATTCATGAAAAAGATCAAGATAAATTTGTTCCCTTATAGCTGCAATTATTGCAAAGTATGTTTCACAGACACTTATTTAAACTAATTAAACAACGTATCCACACATTTAAATAGAAAGAAAGGTTATAGTCGCGCGAACGCGCGACTTAATAAGCTAGTCATATGTGAAAATGGCACAAATGTTCTGAAAATTTTTGAAACTTTGCACATCCATAGTGTCGCAAAAGTTGTGATAAAATGAGAACTTACGTGTATGCACTAGTACCAAAACCATAACTATAACCACAAAACATACGATTCAGAAATGCAGAAATCACAGAGAAGCCACTCTACGGTTGTGCCTTGAAGATTCCTCCATATAATTAATACAACCCCTAGTGCTGAAGTAATAATACAGAGACGAAACTAATTATGCATGTCTAAAAGTTCTTGTTCAGTTTTTCAGGGACGGAGAGATTGACCGACTATGCATCTCAACAAACACTTATTCAGATGCATTACTAAAAGTACTTTTTTTCAGGGACGGAGGGCTTAATTACAATGACAGATTTATTACAATACTTTACTATCCAAGTTTGCCGCACCTAGGTTTAGTAAGCCGCAGGTTTTTAGCCACTCTTGGCCCACTCTGTTACAGAAACAGAGGTATCACTCTAGTCCAGAAAGCAAAGCCGACCAAGTCACCTTTACTGAGATTAACGCAAAATCAGTCTTTATTTCTTGAGTATCATAGCCATGGATTTTCTCCTTGAAGGAAACATAATGCTGGTCGAAACTGGATGGAAACGCGCCCACTTCGAACTTCAAATCTATGAAAGAATCCCTCCTTACAGCAACCACCGACCTCTTTAAACCACGTGACTCACTGATGACACCATCAAAGAGACGGATTTCCTTATCCAAGTTACTGATAAAACTTACTGTACGGTCTAATGTACGAATACGAAAAGATAACAAATAAAGCCTATAAGCAAATTGCTACAAAGAAATGATAAAGCCAAGGAATAAATAAAATTGGAGCGAGGCGAGAGGAAAAAGGAATGAGTTCAAAATAAATTTTAATTTGAAAACAAAAGAGAGGTTTTTGGTTTCTATAGGTTGGGAATCAAATAAAAACAAAGAAAGGATAGAATGGATAGGTAGGGTTTATTTGGTGGATTTGGTTTTCTAGTCGGTCCTAGAGTAACGCAGCACAACGGCTAGATATTTGGAGTGGTTAGCCGATGTTAAGGCATAACGGCTAAATATCGGCCCATCTAGTCGATGCTACAATCAAGTGGCACAACGACTAGAGAGTTGGGAGGGTTTATGTAGGTTTGTGGGTGGAAAGTGTTACCCTACAGCCGTGAGTGGCAGCAGAGCGGCTTGGATCGCACAGAATCCGAAAGCTAGTGTGTGGCATGCTGTAGAGGTCGAGGGAGTAGTGAGGCTCTGACCACTGTACGCGTTGAGGCGTAGGGTGCGAAGAGCAACACTTCGACCTTAGGATTAGGTTATGCCAGGATTTACGACCAACGGTTTGACGTCGGGGTTTGAGACCACACGAACGTCTCCATGGAAGGCGTAAAGTTCTATCGGCGGATTTTTAGTGGCTAAGGGATGGTATGGGAATGATTTAGAAATAAAAAGGGTATTTAAATAAATCAAAGGAATTTAAATTAAAAAGGGGTTTTAAATAGATTAAATAAATAAAATTTAAAATGGTAAAGAAAAGGGTATTTAAAGAAACTAAAGGATAATTAAAATTTAAAAAAGGTTTTTAAATAAAACAAGAAATTTAAAATTAAAGGGATGTAAAATAATTTTTAAAGGTTAATTAAAATAATTTAAAATTAGAAAGTAAATAAATAAATAAATAAATAAGGAAAAGGTTTTTAAATAAAATAAGAAATTTAAAATTAAAGGTATTTAAGATAAATCAAATAGGTTTAAATTAAAAAGGTATTCAAATAAAGAAATTTAAATAAAATTTTAAAATAGGAATTTGATATCAAAACAAAAGAGTTTGAAATTAGAAGAATTTAGGTCAAGGTCTCACTGGGATGGGATCTGTGGTTGGAGAGACATGGGTGCTTGAAGATTGAAATGGAAATTAAAGGAAAAAGATTTACTTTATAGAAGTGGGGCCCACATGTCATATGTCTCTTCTTCCTCCGGTTCTTCTCTCCTTGCTTCGTTTTCTTCCTCTCTGTTAGCCAGGGAACCGAGAGGAGGAGAGGAAGGGCGCCGATGCTGTGGTGGCTAAGATATGACTGCGCCGGTAGAGGATGGTGTTCCCGAACGATGCGCATCCGGGGAAGTCGGTGGTTGGCAAAGGGAGTGAAGGAGATGGCCGGAACGGCGCAGGCAAGAGTATAGCTCTGGCAACAAGAGGAGGTGGCTGTGGTGGTTGGTTTCGGAAGGGTAAAGGAAGGGGAAACTAGGAAAATGAGTTCACCTCGTCGAGGCAAACCCGATGGCGCAAGGATTTAATTAGTGGAATTCCGGTGAGGGAGATCGGCCGACGGTAGGTGGCAGCCGGACATGGCAGGAGAGAGAGAGAGAGGCAGAGCTCGAAGAGCTCGATTGGTGTGTGGAAAATGGAGGGGGTTCGTCTTCTTATATAGGCGGTGAGAGGCGGTGGCGAATGACGGTTGCGAAGGCAGTCGGCGACTTGGCCACGGTGACGGTGGCGTGGAGAAGAGGAGCACGGCGTCGGCGGCGGCACATCTGGAAGGGGCGAGACGGCGACGACGCTGTGGTTGCAGACGGCGGCGGCGGCAGGCCCACAGGGAAGAGGAAGGAGGCGGCTCAGCTGGGGCTGGGTCGCTTGGGCTGAGGAGGGAGATGGGCTGAGGGGAGAAGAAAAAGGAATTTCAGCCCGATTTGAATAGAAACCTTTGGAATTTTTGTGTAGAGGATTTTGAATGGAATTCAAAGGAGATGAAATCTATAGGAAGAAATGTTTGTGGACTTTTTGAATTTGACTAGAATTCAAAGGGGAAAAATTATAAAGGAAGATATTTGTGAACCTTTTGAATTTTGGACAAGAAATTTAAATAGAATTTAAGGAATTGAAAACTAAGGGAATTTTGACGGGAGGGTTTTAAATAGGTTTTAAAGGAGTTTTGGACCTTTTGAATAGGAGGGATTGAAAAGGTTTGTTAGCACAAGAACAATTATTCTGGAAATATTATTCTTGTGCTAGAAAGAATCAAACCTTGGGAATCAAACTGGCGGTTTAATTTATAGATAGAAGAAGTGGAACATCTAGAGGAGTTTGTGGAAGGTGTTGTATGAAAGAGAACAAGGATTTCTAAAGATAGGTCTAGATCAAGGGTTTGATCTAGAATAAATTCCAGCAAAAAGGAAATTATACTGGTTTAGTCCCAAGGATAAAATGGTTAATGGAATATAACAAAGAGTCGGGTCAATCGGGAATTATTGGCCCAAGCTAAATAGTAGACTTTAAAATCTTGAATGGATAATTTAGATGAACGAGATTTCAAAGGGGAAATATTTGGGGGTCCAAAGGAAAGGTATCAACTTTTCCTGTACTCTAGAGATGGTTGAGTGGGAATTGAAATAGTATTTGTTGGAGATGTTCGGGAATGGATTCAAAGGAAAAATAATCTAGAGCCAAAGTTAGAGATTAAAGAAAATAATAGAAATGTTTTGCAAAATTTAAAAGAGCGCGATTAACTTTGCAAATAAAGTCTAAATCCAAGTTAAAAGAAATTAAGAGAAGGCAAGATCACTTCAAAAGAAGAATTGAGAAGAGTGCAACTAAAATATTTCGTAAAAATTTTTCCCCTGAAATTGAGTCCGTTACAAGTAACTAATGCACTTAGTGATTAAATTTGGGGAATCTAGCAATTTATTACAATAGAGTTTTGTGGCTCAATCTGTTAACTATTAGTCTATTACATAATTATTAGGAAAAATCAAGGTATGGTGTTTCTAGCTATGAACCACTTAAATCGGTTGTCTCATTTAAATTAGTATATTTTTCAAAGGTTGGAAATTTTCAGTTTGAAATAAGTAGCACAGCCTGAAATTTCTTTAACTGGGAAGACCATTTGTACAGGTTTGGTTTCGATCGAAGCTACAGGTTGAATTTGGAAGATCATGCAACCATGATGCTACAAATATTAATCTTGATGGTTTAAATAAACCTATCTCATCTATACAACTTGATTCAGCTTAATTTACTTCCTGCATTACTGCACAGTTATTCTTCATTTATTTGTGCGTGCAGGATCTATGGAAGAGGGCCAGGAGGTACTAGGGCATGTACAAAGGTATTAATTAGTGGGCTCTCTTTATTGCCATGGAAGCAGATTTGATGATGTGGAAGAGAGAGAAAAAAGAATGGAGATGCATCGATGTTTTGCATGCAATCGGCCTGACATCGGCTCACAATGAGAAAAACACGAGCAGACGAGATAACCAATGGCCGTTGTATAGTCCATCTTCAAGAAAAGTCACGTATTTAGATCCAAAATGCAGAAAATCACGACACCATTGCTACAAAAATTTAATTACTGCATATTAGTGGAGAGACGATCGGAAAGCCAGCCTTTGTAGAACTATTGTTTTTCTCTGACATAGCCTATTCAAGAGTCCATGGCGGGCTCAACCGTTGAACGTGCCCTAAGAGACCTATTGTGCCATTCTATTCTTGAATTTTTTGGCTGTTTGTATTACTAACCTGTGAAAACTTATAAGGATGTGATGAAATTATTGTTCGTGCAATAATAAGGTTTTCATCCTAACAAATTTAATTATTCAACATCATTTTACTTTGTGATTTTAAATTGGTGTATATTTTTTACCCGTTGCAACGCACAGACACCTACCTAGTCAACATCTAAAATAAATAAGATGGTACCATCAGTCAGGATTGAAATCGTCGAGTGACAAGAAAACACACCGGAAACACGACGGACAGGTCCTCCTCGAGCAAGCAATGGTGACCACCAGCTAGCCGCTGCAGATGCCATGAGAGAGGGAGAAGAGATGAGGCGGTGCATCGGGGCAGGAGATCAGGTGGCGGCGTTAGAGCGTCGGGGAAGATGCGGAATTGGGCGGAGAATTCGCATATGTGCGCACCCAGGAGATCGAAAGGGCGTGACAAGATGTGGGACATCAGGCACACCGACCCACGGGCTCAACTTGTGGGGTTTTTCGTAGCAAAAGGAGCAGTAATTTTAGGATAGATTCACACCCAGCCCATTCCTAGTGGTATGTGCTGTTGTAGTACACCGTCTATTTTCTTTTTAGCTAATCTTGTTGGTAGGCATTTTATGTTTGCCGATGAAAAGTGACTAGAGAGAGATTCATTGGCAACATAAACGTAATGATTATTTTTATCTGTTACTCCCTCCGTCCCAAAATAAGTATAGTTTTGCACTATTCACGTTCAACGTTTGACTGTTCATCTTATCTGAAAATTTTTGAGTAAAGTGTACGGTCGGTTCTTAAACTTGTAGGGTTGTGTCATCTAGATCCCTAAACTCTCAAAATACATATCTAAATCCCAGAACTTGTCATATTGTGTCATCTAGGTCCCAAATCGCCACAACCCCTTCAGGATCCTACGTGGCGTTGATGTGGCATGCCACACGGACATGACATGGCATTATTTTGATTGACAAATGGGACCCATTTAATTTTTTTCTTTTTCTTTTTTTCCTCTTTTTTTTCCCCTTTCTTCTCCTTTCGCTGTGGACCGTACAGAAAAAAGGAAAAAAAAGAATGAGAAGAAAACTAAAAAGAAAAGAAGAAAAAAAGAGAAAAGGACACGTCACGTCCATGTGGCATTGCCACATCAGCGTCACGTAGGATCCTAGAGGGGATGAGTTAATTTGGGACCCAGATGATACACTTTGACAAGTTCTAGGATCTGGATATGCATTTTGAGAGTTTAGGGAACTATATGATATAACCCTACAAGTTTAAGGATCGCCAATACACCTTACTCAAAATTTTTTATGATTAGTATTTTTATTGCTATTAGATGATAAAACATGAATAGTACTTTATGTGTGACTAAATGTTTTCAAATTTTTCACAAATTTTTTAAATAAGACGGACGGTCAAACGTTGAGCACGAATATTTACAGCTGCACTTATTTTGGGACGGAGGTAGTAATATCTTTGGTTAGATTTACAATGGTTCTTCTTAATGCTACCAGTACGTATGGCATTGAACTACTTCCACACGTATTTGGATATCAGGATGAAGCTAAAATAGAAATTCCAGATATTTATTCAGTGACAAACAACTCCTCCGTTGCAAGTAGCAAGTACACGGGGATGTACATAGGATATATTCATTTTCCAAAACTATAGGAAAATAATTTGGGAAGGGGATGTTACAAACACTGGAAAATTATTTGCGAATCCGAAGAAATCTTCTCTCTGAGCTGCTCGACTACATTGTCTTGCTCATCCTTCGACTTTGGGAAGTCATGATCTTTTATACAAGAAAGAGGCGTGCCTAATGCCTCACAGTCCTCGCATGGTTCTTCCTCTTTCAGAATAACAGTCTGCAGGTTGCGAGCTTGCTCCATGATGGCCTTTAAAAAGACCAATTGTTGCTTGAGTGGCCTAAAGCCAGTGAACTGGAGTTCTTTCAATTGCCAATTTCTGGTGCCAGTGAACTCAGATATCTCCCATGAAGGATGTGTTGTTTCTCCATGAACAAGCTTTCTTCCATCTTCATCCTCTTTGTTTACCAAGCATACATGTTCCCAGGTCTACATTTAGTATGAGCACTTGGTTATGTTAATTTGTGCACATAATGATAGTCCAGTTGCAGTTACTGTCATATGCTATTGTTGCGCTCTATTAAAAAAAAAGGAAACTTACATCAATACAAAGGAGCTCAACGGATGGTGCAGCTTCAAGGAGGTTTATAGTCCATAACAGGTCAAATTCAACATGAATGCAAAGAATAGATAACTTCTTTAGATTGTTGAATGCAGGGCAGAGCTGTTTTTGTTCAGGTTGCATCCATAACTGAAAAAACAAAAGGCAGAAATGAAGCACGTGAGTGATTGCCAAATATATATGAATCCATTGCACAAACAAGATTACTCCTAAATAATAAAATCCTTGCGGGCAATTACAAGCAAAAGAGGGGTTAAACCAAAATTTAGGAGGGTGTGGTTGCACACTTGACCACCTCACAGGTTTTCTCATTTTTAAATTGAAGGTAAATACACCTAAGTGGTTGAACTGAGCCAGCTGAAACTATCACAGCATTTTAGTGCTAGATCCTCATTCTGAGTAACATGCCGCAACGTAACAGTTGTACCAATAATAGAAAAGCAGATCATAACAAATGATTATGCAATTACCTTTTCTCCTTGGAAATCTATTGTCAAAGTATGCAAGTTCGGGACACCTTGTAAAACTTTGCTTAACTTCAAGCCTTGGAAGTCAGATTGGGCAGGACATGCGAGACGTAATTCCCTAAGGCTTGGGACTGAGCCGAATGACAAGGGGGCATAAGGAGTGAACCAAATTTCCCAGTAAATGTACTCGAGTTTTGGGAGGCAGACTAAATCGAGCCTCCCAAAGAAGCACACTGCAAGCTCCAAATGCCGGAGCTTTGAATTTGGCGCATTTATCTTCCAAACATCGCGGCTCCCATCATCGCAATGCTCGAGATTCAGATAGTCCAACTGAGTGCAACAATCGAAAAGAATACGATGAATGTCTCCATCGAGGTGCACATTGTACAGAGAGAGCCTTGTGATGCAACAAATCACACGAGGAAAAGCACCAGCAAAGACCTTCACAGCTCTGGCTTGATGAAGCATATCATCGTCATTGCAATCTATATGTCTCTTCTCGTGCAAAACAGCAAGGTCCAATTCTTTTACTATCCCAGCTTCAATTGCTTGACTTAATACTGATCCTATATTGCTTGAGTGGCTGCCCATCATGTAGAGTTTGAGGCATAGGTTTCTGATGGAGGTGTCTCTCTGTGGCACAGATAGCAAACTCGTAGCTGCTTTGGTGAGAGCTGACATAGCTTGATCCATGTGCACAGTCGTTATGCTACTGAACGCTGGGGCATGTAGGAATTCTGCAACATCCAAATCCAGCTTAGTTAACTACCAAGGTAGGTGCCTCCACCGCGTTGACAGGGCGCTTGTCTTTGCAACCGTACTAATGTTGAGTCTCGCCAAGATATCCAACAAAATATCGTCAGGTAGATTGCTGAGCCTATCGCCCTCCTCCGCTTGCTACAATAATTAGATTACACAAAATATGTTAGTGGCTTGAAGCATTAAAACTCTAAAGAATACTCCCTCTGTTTTTTAATAGATAACGCCGTTGACTTTTTCTTACATGTTTGACCGTTCGTCTTATTCAAAAAATTTACGTAATTATAATTTATTTTATTATGGGTTGTTTTATCACTCATAGTACTTTAAGTGTGATTTATATCTTATACATTTGCATAAAATTTTTTAATAAGACGAATGGTCAAACATGTGAGAAAAAGTTAACGGCGTCATCTATTAAAAAACGGATGTAGTACTTATAATTGAAACCAAGAACTTACAAAGGTGTGTCCATTATCTATCTCCATGTGGAATCTGACTTGCCTTCTGCAGCGAAGCTGCTATGTTGAAAGCCCAAAGCTTACGACCTGACTCTTTTATGCAGCAACGAAGTTAAGAGCCCTTTATGCGCCTAGGAAGCCAAGAAACCCAATGCTCGTGTTTGTTGTTCATGACAAAGGTTCGGCTGCCCTTTTGTGGGGGGGACATGAGCATTGAGAGTCCGACTAGAATAATGATATGCCCAAGGGCTCCCAAATATTCCCAAATTTTCTTGGTTCCAATAGTCGCCGCCGATCCGACAATCTGCCCCTGGAAATAGCACACTTTCTCCTCGGAGGAGGCAGGAGAAAGGATACTCAAAAATAACCGACAATAGTATATGAAAGCGAGAAGATGAGTAGAGTAACCACAGGCGAGCGGCGGCGTACCATACCGTAGTTCGGAAATCTTAGCGTGGTAGACGCCGGGCAGGGTGGTGACGGGCGGAGCGGCGGCGGGCGCGCGGCGGGAGATGGGGGGATTGGCGACCGACGAGCCTAAGAGGAAGGAGGAGACGACCGTCGGGAGATGGGCGAGGGGAGAGGCTTCATCGTTTGGCTTATTCATATATTTACATAAAAAAAATAATTTGTGAATACAACTTTTATATACGTATTCTTAACGATCCAAAAGTAGAGGCTAAAAAATAAACTTAGGTGAAAAAAATCCCAAAACCAACTCTAAATTAAATGTTAAAAATTTAAATTTTGGCTGATAAGCAAAAGATGGGGCTGGAAGTGCGACCATGTCGCACACACGGGCCACGGCCTCCTGACCTCAACAAGGGAAAGCGGAGATGGGCCGATGGCTACTCGTCACGGCCCATAAAAGCTCGCTTGTTTTGGGCCCCATATATTGGGCCGGGCATCCTCAGATTTCTTTTTCTCAGAGAAAATTCTGACCGGAGAATCTCTCGATCAACAGCCAACGTGGTAACTCACCGTGCAGGCCGGACCGCCAGCAGAATTCCTAATTCCCGCGTATGCGCCGTCAACGCGTACTTCCGGCCCACACACGTGTTTCTTTTTCTCTTTTTTTTTTGGCGCAGTTAATGTTTGCAGTGTCATAATTGTAAATCCCCCATTTGCTACCGCCATGTTTCTTCCTTTTTTTTTCACAGTTCGATGTCGCACGGGTAGGAGAAAAAATCATAATTAGTTTACTAGTAATTTTTAAATCTTAACTTAAAAATTTTCAGATTTGGTCTTGAAAGTTTTCAAATCTCGAGTTGAAAGTTTTCAAACCTCGAGTTAAAAATTTTTAAATCTCAAGTTGAAAGTTTTCAAAATTTTCAAATCTGAACTTGAAAGTTTTCAAATCTCGAGTTGAAAGTTTTCGAATCTCGAGTTAAAAATTTTCAAATCTTAAGCTGAAAGTTTTCAAAATTTTCAAACCTGGACTTTAAAGTTTTCGAATATCAACTTGTCAAGTTGAAAGTTTCAAATCTGAGTTAAAAGTTTTCAAAATTTGACTTTAAAATTTGAATCTTAAATCAAAAGTTTCAAATTTAGTTTAAATTTTTGTCAATCTGTTAATAAAAAAATCTAAAAAAAAGATAAAATCTTTAAAAAAATTCCTAATTACTGTTATTAATGTTAACTAATAGAGATAGTTAAGTGGGAAGTGCGCGCTAGCGGCACACTCGCCTGCTAGCCACTGCCACTGCCACAGTGCAGGTTGCATGACTTGCATCCCAAAAACAAACAATTAACCAAAAACAAAAAATCAAAGCAGTATAGGGAGATGGTGAGGCAGCTTTCGGCTTGGACACTTGGACGTATACACCACCGACTGGCTCCGTCCATGCTTGGCTGCTCTGCGCCGTTGCCTCTCTCATCTCTGAAGATTTGAAGAGGATGCAGGCAATGCAGCTCGAGACGAAGCCAAAAACAGCGCCTATGCAATCCAAGCACGGACTCTCTGTAAAATAATACACACTCACACTACTAGTAGTATACTACCACTACGGTATACTACTATGAGACGACGACGATGGTAAAATATCATAATTCGATAACGTACTACTCAAAGTCACCAGGTTTTTTCTTCTCTCTTTTTTTTGTTGATGTTTTGTCCACAAACCAGGCAATACAAATTCCAATGTTCTTTTTGAGAAACTTCACCAGTTACGGTGGAAGAAACAATCAACAATAATACAATGTGACCATATATATAGGTACATGGTACACTAAACTCAGTAACAGATTCTGCGCTCCCGCGCACGATACAGCCATACAGTGCATCATAAAACATTACATTCCTCCAGAAGGAGAAGAAAACACCAACCGGAAAAAAAAAAGAAAAAAGAAGAAGCTACTATTGGTTTATGCACATCGGTACACACCTCCTGTGATTTAACCGCCCACAAGTGCCTCAAAACGCTAATTAATGGAAACTAGGTCTAGAAAAGCTCACTGGGGCCGTTAAAAATCTGGAGGAAAAAACCATCCACGTCGCGGTTTCTGCGATGGAAAGAAAGCAAGCTTGGAGACCATATTGCTTCTGAAAAAAAACAGAGACCATATCCTGGCATGCCACCAGTAAAAAACATATATTGTAATCAAGGGTAAATGCGTCAAGCTTTAATTTGTCAAGGTGCTGCTTCAGATGCTCCTTTTCTTGAGGATGATCTTTGGGTTCGGAATATGGTGAAGGCTGTTGCTGTCAACTAATGATTCCATTTCTTGGGATAAAGCTGGATGAGGTTGTACCTGCAGGTTCGAATTCCAAGCAACATCACAAGTTTAGAATACAACCTTAATAAGGGCCAAATTTTATAACTCAAGGGGGGTGTAACCATAATTTAGTCAGGAATTGTTCTAAAGAAACTCGCTGAGCTCATAGTGAATAGAAATAAATAACAGTTTTTTTAGGGTAATAAATAACAGAGTTCGTGGCCGTGTCTCTTCACATGGCCATGCCAAGATACAGAAAAAATTATCACATCTAACCTCGTAACTGCGAAGCAGAGAAGCAATCAACATTGCGATCCCAAGAACCGCAAACTTCTGCCCAACACATGCTCGACTCCCAGAGCCAAATGGAAGGAATGATTCAGTCTTATCACACTCGTCAGTGAAGAGGTTGATCCCATTTGAGCCTTTATGTGCTGCCGCTAATATCTCTGCAGTAAAACAAGTAAAAGAAGAAAACATATTGAGATAATGCACAAATGAACAAGCGGAAAGGAAAATGAAGGGAGCAGAGGGAGAGACCTTCAAAATTAATTTCCTTTTTGAGGAAACGATTAGGGTTGAACTGGCAAGCATCATTTCCCCATGTAGAAGCTTCCATTTGCACGAGATGCAAAGGAATAACCAATATTGCTCCAGCTGGTATTGTGATGCTGGAATTAAGATTAACATCTGCACTCAAGGAAATTGTAAGGAGATCAATAATGTACAGCAGGTAATCCAAAAGGTCTAGAGCTCACACTTCACACAAGAGCTAAAAATAAATGAAATAAAAGTACACCTGATTTCTCCTACAACTGGATAATGGATATATTAAGGAACCTCAGAACCAAAGCATAATCTCAATACAGTACAGCAAGATCAGGATGAAGAAAAGACATCTCCATTTAAAATCATATGATAATATGATATGGATGACATTTCAGGACATATAAGAAAATTTATATATTAATAAAAATGGCCTCAAGAAATACAGGGTATGAAACGTGGTGCTATGTACACTATTAATATTTTTTCATTTTTCATTGATCGGTACTTTTTAAGTTTTATTGAAAAGATATGTATACCTTGTTGCAAAGAACATCTCTGGAGAAGAGGTCCAGCAGGCAAAAGTCGAGCAGATTCACATACAGTAGCAAGTAGGAATTTCATCCTAAGCACATCATCTATCTTAAGCTCAGATGATTCACTGTGACCTGAAACTATCTCCGAATGCAGCTGTAGGAAAACAGCACATGTAAGTCAGAGAAACAGCATAAATACAATGCAACCGCCTGAAAGAAGCAGTTTCCATGTCAACGAAGATAAATGAAGAAACAAGTTCAGCCTTGTCAAATTAACAAAGGAATGCTATAACAAAACCAGAATAACTTGAGACTATCATGATACTACATGAAGGGCAGAAATATATTGCATAAGCAAAGAACAAGGAGCAATACTGGACAATATGCAACATTGTAACATATATATAACTGGGAGAGATCTGTTTAGGTAAAGGAACTACCTATTGAAACAAAAAAGCAGTAACAAGCACCAATCATCACATAAAGAGCAACCAGGATTGTTTGCAACAGAGAAATAAAGCAAATAATGTGTACCTGGCATTGCAAGTTTGGGTACAAGGCAAGCCTTGTTAGGATGTTGCCAATTAGGTTAGCACACGTGGAAATTCCATGCAACATTAAACCCATAATGTTACCACATATTTCTTCTTCTGAGCTGAGAGGCCCTTCAGCTGCCTCGTTGAGACAACGACTTGAAATCACACCATCAAGCAGAGAAAAGCCTCTGCATGGATCTTTTATCATCCTTTCACTTCTCTGACAGGAACTCAGATCAATAAGGCTAAGTACACCATTTTGGTTTCTTGATTTTGCAACGATGCCTTGTGTTAATAGCTTCAATCGAGCACATAGTGTTCTGTACCTCCTATAATCAGGTTTCCAAAATGGGGGAACTGCATAAGAAGCCCAGAAACAAGCATCCTTTGCAACCGTCATCATCAGCTCCTCATAGGCAGAAGCATCAGACCAATCAAAGAAAGCATCACCAAAAAGAGCCGAGCCAACAATGTTAAATGCCATGTGTTGGGAAAAATATCTGCAGTCCAGAAAATCCCTGGCCATAATGGAGTCAACTCTATCAAGGACAATTTGAATGATCTTGAAGGAACTTCCACCAGTACCAACACTAAGTTTTTCATCCAGGAATGACTTCAGTGATTCCCTCCTACTTTTGACCTGAAAATGCAGGAGAAAAGCATTAAAAGAATAGCGGAGATGAATCAGCAATTGTATGTGCCATCTGAATGATAACTATCACCAAAAATATGCAAGGCAAACGAGACAAATTAATACAGCAGACTGCATATGGTATTTTATCACATTTGAGACACAAACCTTCTCGAACGAGGAAATGAACAGACCAAGTTTTCCACAAGCCAAATTATATGTCTTCCCAGTCAACGGCAACTTATCTTCAGCCTTTGTTAGCAACTCTTTAATTACCCTAGAATCTTTAACTGAGACAAGCAGTTGAGAGGGTCCGAGCCACAGTCGAACAACTGGGCCATAACTGCCATGTAACTTCGATAGGTAGCCTGTTTAATAATGCAGTTGAAAGGAACATATGATCAGTGGTGAAATACAGCAGTTCAGGGGAATATGATCAGAAATCAAACCATCCACAGTTTTAGTGTTTTACTCAACAAATACTGGTAGATCGCAATTATGAATCTGCTCAAAATCTGCATTAGCTATTTCTTTCCAGAATTTTTATGCGTAACAATGTACAACCGACTATCTGTTATGTAGAGTATTTGATGCACCATGTGCTAGAGCATTGTATAATCGGGCCCTAAAGACTACAGAGTTGAGCTAGGCCAGTCTACGCACATGCTCATTTGACTAAACAGGAAAAATGAGAAATACAATATGATGCCACAAACATAGGACAGCATGGTATCAAAAAGTTATCCGTATTTCCCTGCAAAAAAAAAAAAGTTATCCGTATTAAAGTTAGTAAAATACTCGTGTGATGCCTATCTATTCCTATATTTATATGCAAAACACCTACCTTATGCACAGCGAATTCTGTTAGTAACTCAATCCTCATCTGGCAAAATCGTAATGAACAACTTATTCATATAAGGGAGATGTTTTTTTTCATCCAGATAGGTTATTTCAGCAATTTTTGTCCAATATTTCCTAAATCATAGTTTGGCGCAGGTCAGGGTAGGACGGTTCATCCTACCTTCATGTACATCGTATTCAAAATAAGGTGTAAATGTTTATTTTAAAGAAAAACTGAAAACATTCAGGCACAATGGATATACCAGACCACAATTCATTATACATAGTTTAAAATCGAACTTTGTCATGGAAGGTGAAATAAAGAAGCAAAATCAACTGAAAGAGGATAATTGAAAAAAAAAGAGGATGGTACTATATTATTGTTTACTAAAATCTGTCTATTCAATTTTCTGCCCTGTGTTAAACTAATTTAGAAACTGTGGCAGCGTAGATCCATGCAGTATCATTGTTTTCAAATTACCTCACACTTTTTAATGACCATTTGCAGGTGTTTTTGATAGGGTACATGATGCACCGATATTGTTCTCTAGCACCAATAGCCAAGATGTATTGAAGAGCGGAGGATTAGATCTAGACAATTGACATGAAGATCAGCATACACTGATGACAGATTTGATTTGATCCGATTGCCATGAGCCCATGAGAAATGTGTTTTTTTTTCTCAGGAAACAGAGTATTAATTCAATTCTCCTGGGAATTCTACTATATTCATATAATCAGACAAACCTCAAAGTAATACGTAGCAGATCTCTACACCGTCCAATCCTTTGGAAATATATCCCAAATCAAGGTCAACTTGGTAATAATTCAGTTCCCTTGCTGACTTACAAAATATGAAAATTCAGCAAAAACAACCTCACATAAAAAGTAAAAAGTACTCTAGAATCTAAACGGCAAAACAAATTAAGCAACAATTTATAGGTCACGCTCAGTTGCTGGAAAACAGATCCGCCAAAAACAGTTCATACCTCAATCACTAGCTTCTTTTTTTTTTGTCTTCCCCTACCTCATACCAGCAGGTTCCACTTCCTCAAAGAGGAACGGAAATATTACAGGCTTACAGCCACTGAAGCTACAAATTTGGGCACGAATCTGTCGTAAAACAGATCAAATAATTCGACACAGTCCAAATCAGCCGATTTGACATTCTAATCGAACTCCACCCAGATCAGCGCCCAACTAAATCAAATCCCACATCAATTAATCAAAATAAGAACAGATTCCCAAATCACCGTACTCAGGTCGCTCGCGTAGCAACTGGAGGATGATGAGTTGCTGAATCTCGAATCAAACTGCGGCAACGTTCCTCCCAATCGAACAGTTCCCACGGAAACCCGAGCAAGCATAAAAAGAGAAGGCCATATGCCCAATAATTCTACCCTGCGAAGGCGCCGAACTCGCGCCAAATCCAATTCCACAGTAGCTCCGCATCCGTACCCACCGGAACTACCACCAAACCAACCGCTACTCGCACGAACAGGGAAGAGAAGGGAGGAAGGAGGAGGAGGACGACGGAAACCTACCGGTGATGTCACCGGCGGCGAGGCCAGGGTCGGCGGGGAAGGCGGGCGGGCCGGGGAGGCGGGCGCCGAGGGCCCAGAGGCGGAGCAGCGCGGCGAGGCGGAGGACGAGCAGCCACGTGACGGCGAGGAGGGCCGCCCACAGCAGCGCGTTGGTGCCCCGCTCCGCGTAGTCGCGGAGGAAGGCGGCGCCGCCGCACGCGGCGGCGTGGGGGCCGCCGCCGCTGAGGAGCGCGCCCAGGAGGGTGTACGGGACGTGGTGCTCGCAGGGGGAGGCCATGGCGAGGGGGTGGTTTGCCGGCGGAGGCGGTGGCGGAGGCGGCGAGCGGCGCGGCGGTGGTCGGAGCAGCGCGAGCTGGAGCTCTCTGCGTGCAGTAATAAAGAGGAGAAGAGGAGAGGAGAGATGGAACATTCGCCTACGGCTCCCTGGAGAAAAAGATCTGCGCACCACAGGCCTCAGACCTGGTAATACTTCTCATCTGGTCCAACTACTCCCTCCATTTTAAAATATAAGGCACAACCATCCTTAACTCAAAAATCAAGAAATAATTATTATTATCTTATAGTTTGAATCATCCTAATAATATAATACATGCATTCAATAGAATTAGATAACATGGGAGTGGAGGATTTAAAAGGTAATAATTTAATGGAAAAGATACCATAATTAATTGTATGCCTTTTATCATGGAACATCTAAGAAAAGTGGTTGTTTCTTATATTACAGAATGGAGGGAGTATTTTTAATTGCAAATCTATCCCTAAGCAAAAATGAAACAGAGGATTAACAAATTACTACTCCCTTCGTTTCACAATGTAAGACTTTTTAGCACTGCTCACATGCATATAGATGTTAATGAATCCAAACACATACATATGTCTAGATTCATTAACATCTAAATGAATGTGGGCAGTGCTAGAAAGTCTTACATTGTGAAACAGAGGAAGTATTACTTAGTAATTAGTAATTATTAGCTAAAAATTAAGAAAATGGTTAATATGATTTTTCAGACACAGCGTTGCTATCAAATTTTGCAAAAAAAAAATATCGTTTAACTGTTTGGGTAGCGCACAAAAAATAATAGGAGTGGAAGTTAAAAAAGCGAAATATGTAACACACGCCATCCTTTGTTAAATTTAATTTTTAGAGCTGATTTTTACCGTTGTGTATTACTTCGTATTAGTTTTATATAAAATTGGTAAGAATACATATATAAAATTTTTACCCATGAATCATTTTCTCATTGATGATAAGCTTAGTTATAGCCGAAACGATTAATTTTTTTTAATGATGGATTACTCTAAGTTTATGATAATTTTGAAGGCATCAATAAAGTACCCACTACAAAGTTGATATGTTGTTTTATAATTAAAAAAAAGTTATTTTTAAAGAAATAGTACTAATTTGTGAGCTCGAGAACAACCAAACGGGCCTAGTTTCTGTTAGTGTTGTCTATTGGATCACCTAGGTTTAGATCTAGTCGGGTGGTTCTATTTGCGATGGATGATTGAACAACAATAGAGAATAAGGGAAAGGGTTTAGGGATGTGACCGGTTGACGCGTTGGATGAAGAGGAAGTCCCAGCCATCGTCGTTGTCGTCGCTCTGCTTGACGTGGGCGGCGGCGGCGATGGCGGTCGTGACGGCGACGGTGCTGCGCGGCAGTGGTGGTCGTAGGGGATCCCGGCGAGGTCGTGGCGCGGCGGTGGAGTCTTCCCGTCACTGGCTGCGCCCCCTCGATCGGTTAGGGTTTTTGGGGTGGAGTGGCGGCGGCGGCGACGAACCTCGTTCCTTGTGTCGTTATGCCGTCCCGTCCTCCACCCCTCTTTATATGGCACAGTGTGACGGGGGCCCACCAGCCATTGGGCTGGGCGCCCCCGATCAGGGCGCGGGTCAAGGCCCCCTTGAGCCATTGGGCTCAAGGGGAGGGAGATCCATCTAACATTCTCCCCCTTGATCTCACTATTTCCTTTAGCTTTTTCTATTCCATCACAGATTTACATATAGAGCATGTTTCATCGTCACGGTTAATTACCGATGGATTCGACAGCCACTATACACATCTCTATTCAGAAACAGATACTTTAACTTTTGGGCCCTATAGTCCAGGATTCATAAGGCTTCCCTTAAAACCCATGCATGCTACATGTTCCTTGAACATGTTGGGAGGTAGGCCTTTCATGAGCGGATCCGCGAGCATCCTTTCTGTTCTTATGTGCTCAAGACTGATTGTTTGATCCCAGACTTTGTCTTTCACAACATAGTACTTTATGTCAATGTGTTTGGCAGCACCACTTGACTAATTGTTGTGAGAGTACATTACTGTGGGTTCTTTATCGCAGTATAACTTTAGTGGTTTCTCAATACTATCAACCACCTTTAAAACCGGGTATGAACTTCATTAGCCAGTTCACCTGCCCCGTAGCCTCATGGCATGCTATAAACTCGGCATACATGGTAGACCCTGCAGTGGTCGTCTGTTTTGAGCTTTTCCATGAAATAGCTCCTACTGCCAGGGTAAACATGTATCCCGATGTTAACTTTGTATTATCTTTTGCAAAGTCAGAATCCGAATACCCCACTATCTGGAGCGATTCTGCTTTTCTGTAAGACATGATGAGGCCTTTTGTTCCTTGCAATCACGCAAGACTTTCTATACCAATTTCCAGTGCTCTAGGCCTGGATTACTTTGAAATCTGCCAAATAACCCGGTAACAAATGCCAAGTCAGGTCGTGTGCACACTTGCGCGTACTGTAGGCTTCCTACAGCTGACGCATATGGCTTTGTTTTCATTTTATTGAGCTCATACTGATTTCTGGGACATTGCGATGCCCCATACTTTTCGCCTTTGACTATAGGAGCAGGTGTAGCACTGCATCTGTACATATTGAATTTCTTCAACACCTTTTCTATATATATGCCTTTTGAGAAAATCCCAATGCATACTTTGTTCTATTTCGGTGAATCTCTATGCCCAAAACATATGAAGCCTCACCGAGGTCTTTCATGTCAAAGTTTGAGGACAAGAATTTCTTTATTTCCTGCAGTAGATTGACATCACTACTAGCCAGTAGAACGTCATCTACATACAGAATTAGGAAAATGAGTCTCCCATTCTTAACTTTGAATCAATACAGTTGTCCTCTACATTCTCTTGAAAACCCAAATTTCTTTATTGTTCCATCAAACTTCAAGTAGCATTGTCTCGAAGCTTTTCTTTAACCCATAAATGGATCTCTTTATACGGCATCCCATATTTTCGTTTCCTTTCATGACAAAACCTTTCGGTTGCGCCATGTATACTTTTTCCTCCAAATCACCATTTAGAAATTCTGTTTTTACATCCATCTGATGTAATTCCAAATCATAATGTGCCACTAGTGCCATTATAATCCTGAAGGAATCTTTACAAGAGACTGGAGAAAATGTCTCATTGTAATCAATCCCTTCTTGTTGCGTGAAGCCTTTTTGCCACAAGTCGCACTTTAAACTTTTCTATATTCCCTCTGGAGTCATATTTGGTTTTGTAGACCCATTTACAGCCTACTGTTTTGGCTCCTTTAGGAATTTCTTCTAAATCCCAGACATCATTTAATTTCATTGATTTCATTTCATCTTTCATGGCTTCTCATGGCCTCTTCATATGAGATGGGATCATCCTCGATATGCGACTCTTTCAGGCCTTCTAGGGGCCTCCTATTCTGGCACATTATATGTTTGAGGCTGGTGCAGCTCCTCCTCTGATGTGGCAATAATTTCTGTTGAATCCTGTAGAATAGGTTCTTCACTTTCATTCATTGTTGCCACAGGAGAGATAACAACAGGTGTTGGTACCGCAACGTCATGCATTGCTGGCACAACATTAGAAAGGTTCCTGAGTCGACGGAGCGGGTACAGACACCCGCCTCTCCTCAAGATCAATTTCTCGAATTACCGAGCTCCCCCTAATCATTTCGTCTTCCAAGAAGACGACGTGTCTTGTTTCTACAAACTTTGTATAACTGTTTGGACAGTAGAAACGATGACCCTTTGATCTTTCAGAATTAGCCAATAAAATGGCAGCTTACTGTTTTGGGTTAAATACTTTATCCTTTGCAGGACTCCCCCACACACGGAGGATCCATAGCTCATATGGTGTTTTGGGCACCGATGCATTCTATACATTGTATGCATCGTTCTAAAACTGAGAACTCCAATGGAGGAAGAACTACATTCTTAACCAGTCTCTCAATTCTCCCCCTCGAAATATGGCATAAACAACAGTGCCATAATTTCGATGAGACATCAGAAGTTCGCTTTCTTTTCTTTTGTCAACGAGGACACAACATTCACATTCTCAGAAAGAAATAAAGCTGATCTTGCAACACAAGACCAATACATTCATTATTATACCATAGTTCACATTTGCCATTTCCAAAATGGCAATCATATCTATCAAAATCCAATTTGGATACACTTATTATCAAGTTTCTTTGCAAAGAAGGGACATAAAAACGTCTGGAAGTAAAAGTGTGAAGCCATTCGCGAGTTCTAGGCGAAGATCTCCAACAGCCTCAACTTTTGCTTCAACTCCATTGGCAACTCTAATGGATCTTTCACTTCTTTGCGTAGTCCTCATTGAACGGAATCCCTTTAAACAATTACACACATGAATAGTTGCTCCAGAATCAATCCACCATGTGGATCTAGAATAACCAATCATAATGAGATTCTTTACAAATGTAATAATGTTCTCACCTTTCTTTGCCATGATCACTGTCAGGAAGTCAAGATGATCTTTCTTGGAATGTCTTGTCTTCTTGCAGTGTAGACACTGATCTTGTCTCAACTGTAAACTGTTGTTTCTGAGGCAGATGCTGAGGCTGTTTTTCTTTTGAGGAGGGTGACCTGTGGCTCTTTTCCTTGTTATCTTTGACAAGGTTAATGGAGTCACCATTGGTCTCTTTGTGTCTTTCCTCCTCTTGCACACAATTAGAGATGAGCTCTTCAATATTCCAATTCTCTGTACTTATTTTGTAGTTGACAACAAGGTTGTCAAAGTTCTTTGGCAATGAGGACAAAACCAGATGGACCAGAAAGTCATCTGAGATGCCCAAATCTTTTTGCTTCAATTTGGAAGCCATATTGCTCATCCTAAGAATGTGGTATTTTACACCACCTCCATGGTACCTCTCTGTAACAAGCTGCTTTATCAGCTGTGTCGTATAAAACTTTGAAGAACCACTAAACTGGCTCTTTATACTTTCGAGGTACTTAGAGACAGTGTCATACTCTGGGATTGAGCCCAATATGGTTGGCTCAATCGTGTTCTTTACCGCAGCCAAACAATTCTTGTTGGCTGAAGACCATTTCGCATGCTCAATGTCATACGACATGATGAGGGAAGCATTGTCCCTCTCTCTCTTTTGCCATTCAGCATCTGACTCTTTTTCACCTCTGAAAATTTCAGCAGGTTCTATAGGACATGGGGTAGTCAACACCCAGTCCACCTCTCCCAAGATAAAAGCAAGGTCGAGTTCTCTTTTCCATTCTTCGTAGTTATCTCCTTTCAGGGTCGGAATATCTTTAATGTAACCCATCAAGGAGTAGCCACCTAAGATAATCATGTATTGTGAGAACAAAATTAACATTAAAATTATTATGTATTAAGTCTACATCACCGTTGGGCAGAAAATAGACATAACACATAAAGCCATAACTATAACATTGCAATTATCAACGTTGGTCAGAAAAATTACAACATCATAGCACATAATTAATGTTCCTAAAATTAAAATCTCCCGTTGGTTCGAAATTTAATTTTAGAAACACTAATTTTCATCAATTTCATCTATTTGCAGCGGAAGATCTATATACAATTCATATAAATTGTAACAAAACTCTGTTGTTTACGCTCTGTAAAATTCTCCCGTTGGTTCAAATTTAAACAGAGATAAAACATGTAAGACAATTCAAAATTCTATTGTAATTTGCATGAAAAAATACAAAATACATGTTCAGAAGCATTTCTCACATTTATCTATTCTCTAAACAATTTTCACGTTGGTTCAAATTGCTTAGAAATAAACACAATCATTAAACATATTGAAAATGCTTCCTTCGGCCGAGGGACTTTTATTAAACTTCCTTTCTTTTGATTCGGCCCCGAGGGACCTAAAATGAACTTTTTCGGCCTTTGCCAGTTGGCCCACGGCCGCCTTGCGCGCGGGCGGGCGCCCCCTCCCCTTTCCCCAGGCCGCAACCTGGGCCTGGGCCGGGAAAGTGGCTCGCCGTGCGCTCCCACATGGGCCGATTTCGGTCCGGCCGCCGTCGGCCGTCCGATCGCTAGGGTTTCGATCGGACGGTCGCGCGGGCGGATCGGGCAAACAAAACCGCCCCCGGCCGCCGGCGCCGAAACCCTAGCTCCTCTTCTCTTCTTTCTCTTGCGGTTGCACGGAGCGGCGTCGCCGTCGCCGAAACCCTAGCACAGCGCCGGCGGCGGCATGGCGACACGGCGGCGCCATCGCACTCCCCTTCGCCGATGCGCGCACTCACTCAAGGGTGAGTGCGCCGCCGTCGAGCGGTTGTGCCGCGGCGCCCTCTCCTTTCTCTTGCGGGCGTGCGCCGTGCCGAGCGGCGTCGCCGACGCCGGCAGCCTTCGCGCCGCCGCGCCATGGCCGACGCCCTCGCGCCGCCACGCCCTCTATTCTTTTCTCTTCTCCCCCCCCACCGTCTCACCCCTCCACGCGAGTGAAGAGTGAGAGACCGGCGACGACGGAGATGGTGGCGCCGCCGCGGGCCCCCTCGCCGGCGCGCGCGTGCACCCGCGGGTGCGCACGCGGCTGTCGAGTGGCTCCTCGGCGGTGCCTCTTTGCCCCTCTCCCCCTCCGTGGCCGGCGTCAACGACGGCCGGCGACGAGGTAAGATTAGGGTTAGGGTTTCGATCTTTTCGATCCGTTGGATCGTTTGCTTTTCTTTGCCTTTCTTTTGGATTTCTTTCCCCAACCAATCTAAACGCTAGGATTGCTCTGATACCATTGTTAGTGTTGTCTATTGGATCACCTAGGTTTAGATCTAGTCGGGTGGTTCTATTTGCGATGGATGATTGAACAACAATAGAGAATAAGGGAAAGGGTTTAGGGATGTGACCGGTTGACGCGTTGGATGAAGAGGAAGTCCCAGCCATCGTCGTTGTCGTCGCTCTGCTTGACGTGGGCGGCGGCGGCGATGGCGGTCGTGACGGCGACGGTGCTGCGCGGCAGTGGTGGTCGTAGGGGATCCCGGCGAGGTCGTGGCGCGGCGGTGGAGTCTTCCCGTCACTGGCTGCGCCCCCTCGATCGGTTAGGGTTTTTGGGTGGAGTGGCGGCGGCGGCGACGAACCTCGTTCCTTGTGTCGTTATGCCGTCCCGTCCTCCACCCCTCTTTATATGGCACAGTGTGACGGGGGCCCACCAGCCATTGGGCTGGGCGCCCCCGATCAGGGCGCGGGTCAAGGCCCCCTTGAGCCGTTGGGCTCAAGGGGAGGGAGATCCATCTAACAGTTTCAGCACACATGACCTGACTTTTAGGCAATTATCAATTCAGACAGCAACGCAAGTGTAACTATCAGGTAGATAAAAAAAAAGATTTTCACACATTTCTTCCCCCTCTTTTCAGATGCAGCTAATTGTACACACCAAGTCAATGCCTCTGTGAATGTAAAAAAGGCAAAAAAAAAATTGTTTCAAGAAATTGACAGACACATACACGTCATCTCAAGATAGGGACACATATCATCAGATCCAGTTCTCTTCCAATTTTTTTATGAAAAAAACACTGTCAGATCAAGAAACCCATGCATCAAATTAACTGGAGATCATGCACCGGAAATGTTGCTTTTGGGCAGCATCCAGTTGCTTCAAAGCAAGCTCATGAAGATCATGCGTCTACTGATCGATGGATCCCTTATTTCGCGCCGAATATTCAAGGATTTTCCCACGCGATTATGTGTCCCCTGTGATCCTAGCCCACCCATTACTCTACTGAACTTTGAAAATTTTTTAAACTTACTTTTCGATTTTTGCTTTGACTTGCTGCGATGATCCGTGCCACAAATCAGCACCAAATCGATTAAAATCTGACAACCTCAAGTCAACTGGCATGAACTCTAGTGCTAATAATATATCATAATTAACTTGGCAGTAAAGGCAGCATGGCTCTCTTTCGGCGATCACTATGCTGCATTGTTTTAAAAGGGTTTGACTTGTGCGAAATTAAAATCGATGGACAGCGACCTGAACAAAGATGCAAACTGCACTGCACCGCGATATGCTCACTCATGATCGCTCTCTTCAGATATCCAATTAGTAAATTGTTAATCGCATCCGACCTACTTAGTCCACTCAAAGTCTGGATGGTAACCAAAAGCTTCAGCGCCTGTAGTGGGACAAGAACAGATTACTAACTAAAACTAACTAACTAAAGCCTTTTACAGTTCAGATATCTTAGTGAGATCACCATTGTTAATTATCGAAAATACTTGTAAAATGTTACTAATGAGCAGGGGCGAAGCTAGCGTCCAAACAGAGGTGGTGCACTATCATTAAAGAGAAAATTCCCTATCTAGCATCAAGAAAAATTGCTCTTCCCTCTATAGCACCCAAACTTCAAAAGTTCCCTATCTATGCACCATCAAAATTTTTGTTCCCCATCTAACACTTCCGTTAGTTTTGAGGGTGACGGTGTTAAGTTGCATGAGGAAAGACGGTTTTGCCCTTCTGTATTTTATACATTTTTTCCCTCTCTCTGTTCACAATTTTTTTTTGTTCTTTATTTTTTTTCATTTAGTGTCCAGATGTCTGTACGTCTTTTTTTCATTTTGTTCACAGTTTTTTAACCTTTCTATATCTAAAATTTTTAGAGAAATTTGACAGCATGTCTGCAACAACAGCATGTTTGCAACACAATAATGAACCAAATAAATTTTAGAGAGCATCCAAATTCACATCCATAGATAACCATAACCATCCAAATCATCCAAATTCACATCCAGGGCAAAAGCAAGAAAAAGGTTGTGTTCATCGCCATGCCGGACTGTTTGCCCGCACCATCTAGGGGGTTGCTGTCCGTGCCCGCCTGGGAGCTGCCTGCATGTGCCGCCGTGGCCATGAGCTGCCTGTCCTGCGCCCGCCTGGGATTAGCCGGCCGAGCAGGCCTAGGGATGGCCTCCCGTGCCGCCGGCGCTGGCCGTCCGGGGGAGCCCGCCGGCGCCAATGGCCGCCCAGGGGGTCGCCATCCTCGCTGCACGGCTGATTCGCCGTCCTCGCCGCCCGGGGGGTCTCCATCCATGGGGGCGACGGCGATCTAGGGTTTTGCTGAGAGGCGCACGCGGGTTGGGGAAAGCAGGTCGCGCTCGCGCTCTGTCCTAGAGAAAGAGCGACGAAAAAAATTCCTGAGGGTGGGTCCATGATTGTTTTGACGGTGGAGGCTAACGGGAGTAACGGAAGTGTTAGATAGGGAACAAAAATTTTGATGGTGCATAGATAGGGAACTTTTGAAAGTTGGGTGCTATAGAGGGAAGAGCAATTTTTTTTCTGATGCTAGATAGGGAATTTTCTCATCATTAAAAGCCTAGAAAAAAAATCAATGTAGCACTGCACATTTTAGTGTTCTTAAGTAAGAAATTTTGGATCTGGGATTCGTGTGCACCACTTGAGTTGAACGTGGCTCCGCCATTACTAATAAGTAAGAAATACATATTATCGTTTGGGTTTGATGACATCGTTGGCTCCGCCACTGACTGGATCGATCGGTGCATGATAAGCTAGTGCTAAGCTGTGGGACACATTGAATTCAGTTCAGGATCAGCCATGAATATGAGTGGCGCGTGGATTTCATTCACAAACCGCTGCTTCTGCTTGCTCGGCCACTTGATGAAACAGCGGCTGGAAACCCAAAAACTGCTGCGTCGTTTCGTTCAGGATAAGCTCTGCATCTGCATTTTTCAGACAGACAGCAATGGTTGTTCCAAAAACCGATGGCAGATGAATGCAAGTGTCACTGGCATTTCCGACATGGAAATCAGGGAACACACACATAATGCAGAGAGAAATGCAGCATACTCCCTCCGTCCCAAAAAAAAAAGGCAAACCACGGGTTTACGTGCCAACGTTTAACTGTCCGTCTTATATG